GCCTTAGGGTTAAATCATTTCCATTTTCTAGAAAAAAACAAAGAATTACCTGGTTTTAGATTTAATACATAAAACATACAAAATTAGAAAATGTATTTAAAACAATTATAGTACTTTTTCATTGGCAGGAGAAAAAACAGTTGTAAAGAATAACTCATTTTGGGGCACCTGGGTGGCTCAGTGGGTTAAAGCCTCTGCCTTCGGCTCAGGTCATGGTCCCGGTGTCCTGGGATTGAGCCCCGCATCGGGCTCTGTGCTCTGCAGGGAGCCTGCTTCCACCTCTCTTTCTATCTAGCTGCCTCTCCGCCTACTTGTGATCTCTGTCTGTCAAATAAATAAAATCTTTAAAAAAAAAAAAAAAAAAGAATAACTCATTTTTGGGATGCCTGGGCGACTCAATAAGTTGGGCATCTGACTTTGGCTCAGAGCATGATCTCAGGGTCCTGGGATCGATAGAACCCTACTGCATTGGCCTGTATCCTTGGTAGGGAGTCTGTTCTTCCCTTTCCCTCTGCTCTTCTCCTCACTTATTCTCTTTCTCTCTCTCTCAAATACAATCTTTAAAAAGGAAAGAAAAATGCATTTTTAATGTACAGCTGAATGTCACAATTCTGCTTATGTGATCTCTTGGAAACATTGATTCAATAAAAAACAGTTTTAGAGTGAAATGGAAAGCTTTTAGCAATTATCTTAAAATTAAGGTAGCATAGGTTTAAATAATTCAATTTAGGGCAAAAGTAGTATTCCAAGATGATGGTTTATACAAAAAGACAAGCTGAAGCATTTACTAATTTAGTTAAGGAACGAGACTATTGCTGGATGATGAGGGAAAGAACACAAGGGTGTTGTTGCTGTGGGTGGAAAGGAGACAGCCGCTAGACCACTGCAGACATTAGAGGTTGCCAAGTGCTACCCCAGATCATTTACAGAGGAGATGCTGTTATTAAACACTTCTTTTTGCAGCCCTAAGTGTCACCTCCATTACTGGGAAGTAGTGTGTGGAAGAAGAAAGCACGGGACAAAATGGAGGACCCAGATTCTTTTTTTTTTTTTTTTTTTTTAAGATTTTTATTTATTTATTTGACAGAGAGATCACAAGCAGGCAGAGAGAGAGGAGGAAGCAGGCTCCCCTAGAGAGCAGAGAGCCCGATGCGGGGCTCGATCCCAGGACTCTGAGATCATGACCTGAGCCGAAGGTAGCGGCTTAACCCACTGAGCCACCCAGGCGCCCTGAGGACCCAGATTCTATACTGATTTCACCTCTAACAAGTAGTGTTATTTTGGAGAATCCACCAATGTTTGATTTTCAGATTTTTCAGCTGTCAGCAGCTTGGAATAGATAGCTGAAGGCCATTTTCTGCTCTGACTCTGTGTTTTGTTTTGTTTGCATGAAACACTTGATCATCTCTGATAATACACATTGTTTCAATGTTTGTATTTCTTTTGAAAACCTTATTATTGAGCTATTATTTCATACCATAAAATTCACCTATTTTTAAATGCATAGTTTGATGAGTTTCAGTAAATTTATATAGCTGTGCAACATCACATTTTAAAATGTGAGTTCACATTTTAGTGAACTCTCTGTCACACCAGAAAGTTCCCTTGTGCCCATGTGTGGTCAGTTCCCACTTTACCTCCAGTCCCAGGTAGCCACTGATCTATTATTTCTAAATTTTTTTGTCTTTTCTAGAAAGATCATAAATAGTTTCTTCTATTTAGCATAACGTTTTTGAGGTTCCTCCATGTATCATTAGTATGTATCTGCATGTATCATTAGTTCGTTTCTGTCTTTTGGTGAGTAGTAGTTCTTTGTATGAATATATACCACATTTTTTTTTTCTGTTAGTTGATAAACAATTAAATTGTTTTTGGTTGAGGCAAATATGAGTAATGGTGCTGTGACCATTTGAATAACCCTCTGTGGACATGTGGTTTCTTTCTTCTTGGATAAATAACAGAAATGGAATTGCTAGATTGTGTGAGATAATATATACAAATTTTAACTTTTTAAGAAACTGCCAAATTAGGATGCCTGGGTGGCTCAGTGGTTTAAGGCTTTGCCTTTGGCTCAGGTCATGATCTCAGGGTCCTGGGATCCAGCCCTGCATTTGGGCTTTCTGCTCAGCAGGGAGCCTGCTTCCTCATCTCTCTCTGCCTGCCTCTCTGCCTACTTGTGATTTCTCTCTCTGTGTCAAATAAATAAACAAAATCTTAAAAAAAAAAAAAAAAAAAGAAACTACCAAATTTCCTCCCAGAAATGGCTATGCCATTTTACAGTTCCTACCATCAGTGTTTGAAGATACCATTTTCTCCACATCCTCACCAATATTAACAGTCTTTTTGATTATAGCCATTTTAGTGAGAGTGTCATGAGATCTCATAGTTTTAATATTAATTTCCCTAATGGCTAACGCTCTTGAGCATCTTCTCATGTATCTATTTGCCATTGGGTAGGTCTTCTTTATAGACGTGGCTGTTTGGGACACCTGAGTGGCTCAGTTGGTTAAGCATCTACATTCAGTTCAGGCCATGATCCCAGTGTCCTGGCAATGGAGCCCTCTGTTGGTCTTCTGCTTGGTGGGGAGCTTGCTTCTCCCTCTCCCTCCGCCCCTGCTTATGCTCTCCTTCTCTCTCTTTCAAAGTAAATAAATAAAATCTTACAGATGTGGCTATTTAAATCTTTTGCCCATTTTATAAGATGAAATTATTTGAGTTGTAAGAATTCTTTACACATTTTGGATATGGGTTCTTTATCAGATTAATGTTGTGTGAATATTTTCTCCCAGTCAGTGTTGTGTCTTTTCATTTTCTTACTGGTGTCTTTTGAAGAGGGAACATTTTAAATTTTGATTAAGTGCAGATTACTCATTTTTTGCTTTAATGGACTTGCTTTTTGGTGTTGGATCTAAGAACTCTTTGCCTAGCCCAAATTCACAAAGATTTCTCCTGTGTTTTCTTGTAAGAGTTCTACAAGTTCAGCTCTTATAATTAAGTCTGTGATCCATTTTGACTTGAAGTAAAGTTCTAAGTTCATTTGTTTTTGCATATTTATATCCACCTGGTTTAGTATACGTGTTGAAAGAGTTATCCTTTCTCCATCGAATTACCTTCATGCCTTTGTCAGAAATCAGTTGACCACATATGTGGGTTTATTTCTGAACTCTTGTTCTACTCTACTGAAATATGTAGAGATACAGGTGTAGACATAAACATAAGTAAAGATTTAGATACAGATCTAGATTTGCTGTTACATTGTACACTGTCTTGATTACTGTGGTTTTATAATAAGTTTAAAGTCAGGTTATAGTAGTCTTTCAACTGTCTTTTTCACTTCACAGTTCTGGCTGTTCTCTGTCCTTTGCATTTCCATATACATTTTAGCCTCAACTTGTTAATTTCTAAAAAGAAAAAAAAAACTAGGATTTTGGTAGGGATTACATTGAATCAATAGATCAATGTAGGGAGAACTGACATCTTAACAGTATTGAGTCTTTCACTTCATGAAGTTGGTCTGTTTCCCATTTTATTTAGTTTTCCTTTAGTTTTTCTCAGCAGTGTTTTCTATTTTGTGGTGTACTGGCTTTGATTTTTTTTTTTTTTTTTTTTTTAAGTGCCATTAGCCTGGGGGTTGGGGCAGAGAGAAAGAATCTTAATCAGGCTCCACCACGTGGCAGAGCCCAACAGGGGGCTTGATGCCACAGCCCTGAGATGACCTTGAGGTGAAATCAAGAGTCAGATGCTTAACTGACTGAGCCACCCCAGCATCCCTTGAATTTCTTCTTTAAAAATTTATCCCAAATATTCTATTTTTGATGCTGTTAGAAGTTTTAAAAATTTCATTTCAGAGTATTTGTGACAAGTATGTGGAAATATAATTGATTTTTTTATATGGATCCTGTGACATTGTGAAACTCCTGTACCAGTTCTATTGGGCTTTTCTTGATTGCTTAGGATATTTTATTCACAAAATCATACATAGTCCTTGAAAATGGTGTTTGTGGAAGTACACATTATTCTTACTCTAGAATGATGTTGCCACAACCAAAAAATTTTTGGAATGTTATTCTTTATTCAGAATTTGTTAGGTTACCAGGCACTTAAGAAAATGCATTTTTGGGGTGCCTGGGTGGCTCAGTGGGTTAAAGCCTTGGCCTTCAGCTCAGATCATGATCCCAGGGTCCTGGGATTGAGCCCCACATTGGGCTCTCTGCTCTGCGGGGAGCTGCTTCCTCTTCTCTCCCTGCCTGCCTCTCTGCCTACTTGTGATCTCTGTCTGTCAAATAAATAAATAAAATATTTTTTAAAAATGCATTTTTGTTAGTTATTGGTAGAAATCTTGCTCTAATTTTATTCTTTTTCCCTTTTATTAATCTGTATTGAGGATATGCTTTTTATATGTCAAACATTAAAGGAAAAAAGTTGGCAGTTGGATATATATATACCTAAAGTTCAAGAAAAAAGCTCTGGGTAGAGGTGTATGTGAATTGTCAGAGCATAGTTAAAGTTGTAGGACTGGGCATGATTACCTAAAGGGATTGACTTAAAGTTCAGTCATTCCCTGGAAGAAGAATTGAGGGGAGTCTGAAAAAGGTTTAAGAGGTACCCTAAGCCCAGGAATCTAGGGGCACCTTGTGGGGAGTATGTTAGAAAATTACTGATTACCTATACATTTGCTTATGAGCCACCTGCATGCATGAAATGCTTTTAAGATTTTTTTTTTAATTCCTCACTATTCTAAGAGTGTACAAGAAATGTCTTTCACAAGAAATTGAACTTTGTAAGATCACTGATGCTTATACCATTTTTTCCCTTTGAATTATTTACAGTTATTGCTTGGCTGTCTTCAGAGTAATGTGATTTTTAATCATTAAACATTCTAGTCATCATTTTCTGTTTAATGTCCAGATTGGTATATTTTTCTGATGCTCTTACCTACATTGTAAATATTACTGACTTCATGAGAGTTATACCAAATATCTTTTTTTCTTCATTCCTAGGCAAATACTGTGGTCTGGGGTTGCAGATGAACCATTCAATTGAATCAAAAAGCAATGAAATTACAGTGCTGTTCATGAGTGGGATCCATGTTTCTGGACGAGGATTTTTGGCCTCATACTCCGTTATAGAGAAACAAGGTAATTTTCAACTTTATATCACAACTTCCACATTTTCCAATTTGTAAAAATAAAAATGAAGTGTTTCTTCTAGTACTTGTTATTCGAGATTAGAATAGAGTAGAAAGACTAAACAGTTAATAACACATATATAAATTTTATGAATAAAATTAGTTCAGTTTCAGAATTCTAAAAATTGGAAGTATATTAAATTTTTATAAATTTCATATACTAATAATTATATAAGTTTCATACACTTCCCTTTTCACAGTAGAGGAAATACTGATTTTTCACTTTTATAAGATTGGAACACAAATGACAATAATGTTTTAAAAATCTGTCAGTTATTGAAAGGTGTCATATAAATATAAAGTTTCATTATCCACAGCTTACCATTTCATAGTACTGTGTTAAAGACCACATTACCATTCTTCTCAAAAGAATAGATTCTGACTCTACCAGGAGTATGCTTCAGAATGCTGTCTGAGATGCTGCGAAATAAACCTGAGATACTGGCTAGATTGTTACTGTTGATAGTGCCAAGGAGGGAAATTAAAAGCAAGACTATTGAGTGGAACAGAATGCAAAATTTACTTGAATTTCTAAAATAAAATGTGAGACTTGAATGAAATCTCTCATGAATTTTGGCTGCTGTAGCATGGATTTGTTTCCTCTGCTATTGAGAGCACTGTGGTAGGAAAGTTTTAGGAAGTGCTCCTAATGCAAGGATATGTCAGACAAAGCAATCATTAATGATTATTTTGATATTGAACAATGATTTAACTAAGCTGACAACTTAAAATTTTTTTTTTTTTAAAGATTTTATTTATTTATTTCACAGACAGAGACAGGCAGAGAGGCAGGCAGAGAGAGAGGGAAGCAGGCTTCCTGCTGAGCAGACAGCCCGATGCGGGGCTCGATCCCAGGACCCTGGTATCATGACCTGAGCCGAAGGCAGAGGCTTTAACCCACTGAGCCACCCAGGCGCCTGACAACTTAAAATTTTTAAAAAGCTATTACTTTATGTTATATAAATGAGAAAATTGAGAACCTTCTACATGTGAGAATGCTGTGCACTGAGAATGACTGAGGGCAGTGCAAGCTGTTCCTTTTCAGCTCTGGGGGTTCGAGATAAACACGATAGGTATCATTAGCAGTTTATTTAGAATGTGATAAAGGAGCAGCTGTTCTGTGGGAAGAAAGGTTTACTTTTTCCTAATTTCTGAGCTATGGAACAAAGTGGGAAAGCTAATAAAATTGCTCTGAGAGAATGAGAAAGAAGACTTATTTGGATGGAATAATGGAAAGGAAGAAACTGGAAACATCACACTAAATGAAAATGTTTCCCACAGAACCAGGGCAAGTAAGGCAGCAAGGTGTTGTAGGAGGAACACCCCCGCCTCTGTCACATGCTCGCCAGGTGATTGCTGGCCAGTCATCTCACTTCTGTAACCTCTGTGGATTGGTTCCAAGGACTAACTCTAATATGTGTGTAGTGTCTGTAAGCACATGACACAGTAGGCATGAAACAAATGTTAGTTTCCTCCTTTCACCACCATACACCACAAACACATACTCATTCCCCACTATCAGGAAAGTAAGATAGAAAACACTGAGTGAGATGATGGTAGCTTCCTATCCTTTCAGGTTTATTTCTTGGAAGTCTTGAGTTGATAGGTGAGAGAATAGAAAATATACAATTCCTTTGCTTCTAAAGCTCCTTGAGTTGCCTCCTCTTGCTATCAGTTTAAATTGTTAATTTTTTTCTTCATATTTTCCCCTTTCTCTCTTCATTAAGTATTGAGTTGAAGGTTTCTTTTTTTAAGATTTATTTATTTATTTTAGAGAGTGTGCACATGCACACATATGCTCACACAAGTACAGGGAAGGGCAGAGGGAGAGGGAGAGAATCCTTAGGCAGACTCCCTGCGTAGTGTGGAGCCCAACATGGAGCTGGATCCCAGAACCCCGAGACCACGACCTGAGCCAAAATCAAGAGTTGGCTGCTTAACCAGCTGAGCCACCCAGGTGCCCCTTGCTAACATTCTTGAAAATAAATATCCCTTCATTTAAAAAAAATTTTTTATATATTGTATTTAAATTATGGAGCTTCTTTGTTCCACAGAAAACTGAACGTCCTATATTAAAGTTTAAGATTTGACAGTGATCTCAGGTAACAGAATCAGTATGGTGTGGACTTACATATGTCTGCCAGATTTCAAGTGGTTATGTCACTATTTTACATGAATCTTAGATATCAAAGTTCTTTGAAATATCTACCATAATCTGGAACTTTTTTTTTTAAGATTTTATTTATTTATTTGACAGACAGAGATCACAAGTAGGCAGAGAGGCAGGCAGAAAGAGAAGAGGAAGCAGGCTCCCCGCAGAGCAGAGAGCCCGATGTGGGGCTCGATCCCTGGACCGTGGGATCATGACCCGAGCCTAAGGCAGAGGCTTTAACCCACTGAGCTACCCGGGCACCCAGTCTGGAACTTTTTTATAGTAAAGGCATAATCATGGGAATTCCTCATTTCACACCTCTTTCCTGAGTTTTTACTTAGGTTCCTGTGTATACTTGCTTCCTCTAGAAAGTATTTGTTTTATTTGAAGTTATAAGTGAATTGGCTGGGTGCCTGGGTAGCTCAGTGGGTTAAGCCTCTGCTTTTGGCTCAGGTCATGATCTCAGGGTCCTGGGATCAAGCCCAGCATCAGGCTCTCTGCTCAGTGGGGAGCCTGTTTTCCCCTTCTCTCTCTGCCTACTTGTGATCTCTGTCTGTCAAATAAATAAATAAAATCTTAAAAAAAAAAAAAAAAAGTCAATTGGCTAAATCCAAGGGAACCCTGGGTGAATTTCTTACCATTTCTTCTTGGGTGGCCTTTCAGACACAATTTCTTTTAATGACTCATTCATTTGAATGCTGATTGGCTTTGGTTTGAGAGCCTGTTTGTTTCCATCCAGAAAACTTTGCTGCCACACTGAATTCTATGAATACTTTCAAGGAACTTCACTACGTGTCCCCAGCTTAGCAACCTAGTTAGAAATTTAGAGTATTTGGGAATGAAAAGATTGTGAAAAATTTTGCTACAACAGCTTCTTTGTTTGTTAAACTCTCACAAACACTTGCTAATGTTATGCATGTATTGTTGATAGAGTCATGATTTTGTGTGACGTAGATTAATTTTCATGCCTTTATGCAAGAACACATGGCAAAATTATATTTCCTTCAGTGCTGTATTTCCTGCAATATGCCTAGCACTGGGAAAACAGCAGTATAAATAAGGGACAGTTATTCCTTCATGGAGCTTACAGTACAGGGTTGGGAAAAAGCATTAAACATATAGTAGAAGCTCAGTTCCAGTTATGGCAAGGAGTATGATGAAAGGAAAGTTCCAACAATAGGCCAGAAGGGTGGGAGGAGTGGGAGATCATAAAAAGCCTAACTTTTACAGGAAGTCACTTTTAAGCAGGGACCCAAGGATTAATTGGGAGGTTCTAGATGGACAAGAAGGAAAAGGAAACTATTCTAGGGAAGAGAATAACAGATGCAAAGACCCTGTGGTGGGAAGGAGCTTTGGAGGAGCAAGAAAGGAAGCTGGCACAGCTAAGGTGGAATTGACCGTTTGGTGAGTAGTTCATGTTATTCAGGGCCTTGTAGAAAATGTCAGGGTTGGAGCTTATTCCTAAGAATTATGGAAGCTGTTAGAGCTGAGTAGTGATATGATTGGACTTGTTTTTGTTTATTCTTACGATCTTCTCTGCTCTGTGAAAAGTGGGTTGAAGACAGGAATAATAGTAGGGAGTCCAGTGAAGAGGCTATTGGAGGACTCTGGGTCAGAAATGATTGAATTAAGAGGTCTTATTATAAATGTAACTCTAGAATTAAGCCAGATTCTAATCCTTTCTAAAGACTTGAGAAACAGACCTGTCTGCTACAAGAAAACATTTCAAAATACTAAGATTCTTCCTACATGATTTTCAGTTGTAGTAGGAGGCTTTGGACACAAAGCCGCCCTCTTGTATGAATCGGAACTCCTTGAATACCCAGGTTGTGTTTAGGGCACTTTACTTGGTGTCCTCTTCACTTTTGTGTCCACTTTTCATAACTTTCATGGTTTTAGTCCTCTCAGTTAGTTTTAATGATCTTTGAGCAGTACTATCCAGTCTTTTCCATTACCAGTTATCTCTTAATTTTTACCTGTAAATCTCAGTTTTGAAAGATTGTATCTGCCAGTGAAAGGAACTTTTTCTTTTTGCCCATTGGGTAGCAAGGAAATACAAAACAACTATTATTAACACGTGCAGTAATTATTAGAGGATTGGTATATTTTACTCCGGGTTGGTATAATTATATCAAATTCCAGCTAGACTTTCTGAAATTGAAATTTTTTTAAAGATTTATTTATTTTTTAATTTTTTAAATTTAAATTCAATTAACATACACTGTATTATTAGTTTCAGAGGTAGAGGTCAGTGATTCATCAGTCTTATATAATACCCAGTGCTCATTACATCACATGCCCTCCTTAATGTCCATCACCCAGTATCCCCATCCCTTTTCCCCCTCCCTTCAGTTTATTTTCTATGATTAAGAGTCTCTTACGGTTTGTCTCCCTTTCTGATTTCATTTGGTTTTATTTTTCCCTCCCTTCCCCTGTGGTCCTCTGTTTTGTTTCTTAGATTCCACATGTGAGTCAGATCATGTAGATTGTCAGATCATCTGATTGACTTATTTTGCTTAGCATAATACCTTCTAGTTCAATGACAATCTACATTGTCACAGATGGCAAGATTTCTTTTTTTGATGTCTAAATAGTATTCCATTTTACATATATATCACATCTTCTTTATCCATTCCTCTGTTAATGGACTTTTGGGCACTTTCCATAGTTTGGCTTTTGTGGACATTACTGCTATAAACATTGCGGTGCAGGTGCCTCTTTAGATCACTACACTTGTATCTTTGGAGTGGGTACCTTATAGTGCAGTTGCTGGGTTGTAGGGTAGCTGTATTTTCAAC